TTCCGGCACTTCTTGCCAAAAGAGGATTTTCCTTTTTAATGGACTGAAACCCCTGAAATAAGACTTCCCAAACTGATTTTATTTAAACTGGAAAACATCCCAGCACTGCCAAGTTATTGTGTTAGGCTCTTATTAGATCTCACAAATTAAACAGTCTTAAACACATTTAGTCTATATTCTGATGGAAGACCTTCAAGAAAAACTCAGCCAGCTAAGGGAACTGGTGATAATGACAATTCACAAGGTGATACTCTCTCTTCTCGGTCAATACCGAACTGGCATGCTAGCTTGTTGTTAAAAGGAGGATGTGCTTTTCTTCTAGCAACTCTGGGTGAAATCCTGGTTCCACTGACACTGGCCTAATTCCCACTGAATTTAACCCTGAAACTTTTTGTATGACTACAGTTCTGATCAGTAAAGGTTACATAGAATCTCTTGAAAAAGTCAGGGGCATCAGTCCTCATACCAGGGCAAATTTCATTGCAGGCAACTGCACTCCACCTACACAACACTCCCTCACAATTTCAGCTGGATCAAGATCTCATCAGTTTCTATCATCAGCTGTTTTGTGTTGCTTCGCTTGTAACACTAAGCTGGTTGCCACATTCTGCCACAGAACTGGCTGCACTTTGGGCATAGATGGAGTGATTGTCCCACATAGCTTCTTGGGTTTGTAAAGTCCTTTGGGAAAGAAAAGCATTTATAGTAATATATAATTACTGTCCTTGGTTTTACAACAAGCTGAATGTCCATTCCACACATTCCTGGTTACTCTCTCGTTCTTCATCATTGTAGATGTTGACATATACAGACACATGAAACTGAGGTCATTAAAAATTGTATTTATATTAAAGAGATTCTTCCCATAATATATCAGACTTCCATTTCAACATTTTTTTTTGGCGGAGGGAAGGGGAAGGAGGGTCTCTCATTTTTTTTTAAAGGCCTGCCTGTCACCCACACTTGGGTCTTGGCAGTCGAAGAGCTGTGTAATATAGCTTAGGTTGAAGTGAATGCACTTGAGAACATCAATTTGGATCCACAAGGCAAAGTTACAAACAGTGCGCCTTTCCCCAGGGATTTTTACTAACAGGAAATTGAACTATGAAAGTATTCAGCTGGCAATGATAACCATAATTCCAGCATTTCTGAGCTCTTAAAATACACTTCTTATGTAAATATATTCTTTTCAATAAATCTGATCAACTGATACCAAATAATACTTGTACCCCCCAAAACTGCTTATATAAGCCACAAACACTGTACAACCCAAGATAAATCTTTTCCTAATTATAATGGTGCCATGTGAATTTATGGCGCAGCAAGATTTTTCCATTACAAAACTTTTATTTCCAGTTTATTGCTTACCAGCAAGCATTAATTCCAGGGGGAAACCAGGCTTCCAAAATTCTCATCTTCTAGGAGAATGATTTAGTTTTTAAAGTACAGTCTGTAATAAACATTGCATGTGACATGTACTAAGCCTAAGTAGATGGTTACTACTCTCAGATGGTTACTTTCAAAGCCGTTTTTTAATTCCAGCAACTCAATAAATGGCCTGTATTATTTCTACAGAAAGAGTGAAGCTGTTATAATCCAAAAGGCAGGCTAGCAATTTGGAGAATGTTTAAGGATTAAACATAACTGGAGTGCTTAAACCAAGTAAATACAATGTTGTTCCATGAAGAGGGGCCTAGTGTCATTTTCTCTCTGCTAATTCAAACACAGAGAACAGGTCAAAATTTCCTTTAAGGTGGACTGTGCAGGCTTGGAACTAAGACTTGAGGGAGCTTCTTAAAAATCTTGACCCTAATATTTAGGCTTTTTTCTTTCCCCACCCAGCCCTGGAGAGCAGGAGGTGACATACAAAGAGGAGTATAGAGAGTCCATGAGTCCACTCATGCTCAGGCTTGCCTACAGGTAAATTTCCTTGGGGGAAAGCCTCTCCCAGACTCCAGCAGCAACCATTTCCTCTGAAATGGTTCTTTCAGCTGGTGACAATTTCTGAGATTTAAAAAATGCTCTTCTCCCTCGCGAGGAACCAAGACCTTTTGATGTTCTTTGGGAAACAAAGAGAAAGAGATCAGCTCTAGCACACCTGCATTTACATCACTCCTCTGGGCTGCTGGAGACCCAGGTACTACTCTACCACTCTACCCAATTCAAAATATTGGTCTCCTGCATCACAGGTGAGTGTCCTGACCAGCAGGAGAGCCTGGGGTGTGTTGCTCTGGCTTGCTTCTGTTGGAGCATTTTCACTTTGTATAAATAACTGAATTTCCGTTGGCCAAAGGAAGAGAGAGGCTGACATTATGTGTTGGTGCTCAGGGCAGTTATCTAGGATTTGGGAAAGCAAGAAGAAAGTGCTCCCACTCTGGTGAACATTTAATGACCTGTATGAAGTGAAACATCACCAACAGGAAAGGGTGAAAGGAGGACACCCCAGAACAGCCAACAGCCTGGTGCTGAAGGCAATTTCCAGAGACATGGGTAATCCAGGTTTGAATCTATCCTCTGCATATGGCAGAGCCAGGACTAGGGGGACTCAATCCTGTGGGCATGCGGGGCCTCAGAGCCCAGTCCTGGCATGTGGAACCAGGCTGGGGCAGCACAGGGCCCTGGACCCTGATCTTGGCAACTGGGACTAAGCAGAAGTGGCATGGGGCGCCAGAGCCCAATCCCAACACCTGAAGCTGGGCAGGGGCAGTGCAGGGCCCCAGAGCCCAATGCTGGTAGGTGGAAGCAGTCCCGTCCCCAGGGCCTGATCCCAGCAGGTGGGGGCAGCACAGGGCTGCAGGGCCTGATCCTGGTACATGGGACCTGATCCAGCCAGTGGACCAGTCCCACGGCATTCATCTGGCCTGTGCTACCAAAAGGTTCAGTACCACCTAACTCCTAGGGCTGTGCGAGGCTTCGGACTGTGCTTTGGATCTGGAGAAGCTTCAGACACTTTTGCATCCAAAGCAGCACATCAGGATCGAAGCGCTGGCTTCGTTAGGCTTTCCAAAGTGGTTTGGAACTTCTGACTGCTTTAGAAAAGCTTCAGAGCCACCTCGGAGATCCGGCCATAGGGTATAATAGGGAATCAGTGAAATATCTATAACTTTGTTGTTTTCTGCCTGATTTGGATGAAACTTGCAAGGGTGGTAGGTTTTGATTAGGTGTTAATGAGTTAATTAGCAAGGATTAACACCTACAAAACCGCAGACTAAGGAGAGGAAATAATCAATACAGACAATCAACTGCCCCAAGACAGAGACAGCCAGTTGCACAAGCACCCATGTCACCAGTTTTGCCTGTCAGCAGCTAGGGGTGCAGGGCCCGATGGGCCCATCACATTCCCATGGACAGGGGGCCCCAGAACCCCTGCACCAATCCCCTTGACAGCTGGCAGGTGTTGCGGCCGCAGCAGGGGCCACCATCCCTATAGCTGTCACCCCACTGCGCCTTAACACACACAGTGTCACCCCGTCACGAGTTTTGCTTGTCCGCAGCTTGAGGTGCAGTTCCCCCCAAACCACTGCACTTACCTTCTTGAAACTTGGCAGGCTTTGTGGCCTTACTGGGGGCCACCACTCCTGCAGTTTTCACCCCCCTGTGGTGTAACACATACATGTGACATGATTTTTGCTTTCAAGAATTTGGGGTGCAGTTCCTCCTAAACCCCTGCACCGATTTTCTTGAAACCTGGCAGGCTTCATGCTCTCAGTAGAGGCTACCACCCCTGCAAGTTTCATCCAAAATCAGACATAAAACAACAAAGTTATAGATATTTCATTGATTCCCCGTTATAACGTATGGTCGGATCTCCAAGGCAGCTCTGAAGCTTTGGAGTTGCTTCGGACGGATCGAAGCGGGAACCCGGTCTGGAGCTCTGGATCGTATCCCTCGCATCCGAAGTGGCTGGATCCAAAGCCAGATCAAATAGCTGCGTACTTGCACAGGCCTACTAACTCCTCTGTTGCACAGGACCACCTTTGTACTAGGAATGTCCATCCTGGACACAAGAAGCTTTGCCTGCTGAAAGCTGATTCAAAACAGATGCCTTTCTGTGAAAAATAAAAAGTTTTGGTTTTGACAAGTTGGCCTTTTCTGCCCAAACCCCATTTCATGGGAAATTCCTGACTGGCTATAGTTTCATCCCACGGAGCTGTGTCCTGGCGTGGCAAGTTGAGAGAGTTAGACATGCAACTCTCATGAATAAGTTGCGTCTAAATTGGCAAGCTAGCTTTGAAAATGTGAGGCAGAGCTTCTTGGGGCAGGGATGTAGCTCCATTGTGCAAGTGCAATGGCAGGCAGAGCAGGGCCCCTCCATTCTTGACCAGGGCAGCTACATCTCAAACAATAATTGATCCATTCAGCAGACATAATTGGGGGATAGTGTGTGGAGGAAGGGGGTGCGTGAGAATAAAGAGGTCATGTTTGGGTAATATCTTAAGAGCCAAGGTCCCATTTAGGGTCTGATTTGTAAGGAGATAAGGAGCCCCCATAGTCTCATAGTTGGGTTAATTTGCAACTATGAGACTCAACACTCCTGAACATCAGACCTCCCCCTCAAAACAGATGGGATGAGGGCATCAGTGCCTTTCATAAAGGGCAATCCTTTACACTGGTTTGACCCATAAGGAGGTAGCCAGCCCAGAGGTTTCTGAAGCTAATGGTGCTGTTGGTTGTATCCCTCTCCTGGTATACTGCTTGCTCACGTTCAAAACAGGTTGATCAGAGCTATCTACTAAAGTAGTTTGCAAATTCTGTCCATCTTTCACACTCTGTTTATTAAACCTTTGTCAGCTTTCTCAAGAGCAAGGATTCACCTGCAGAGCCCTTACCCCCAATTTTTCCCCACATTCCTGCAATGTGCTCCCTAACACAATCCCTCCCCACCAGAAGTAGCTGCATTTCAGCAACACAGGACAAAAAGCAGTTGATGCTCAGTTAGGCTGAGGAATAACATGCACATAAGATACAGTGATCAGAGTCAGGCTTTACTCTCACTTTGCGTTGCTTTTTCAACTTTATTTATTTTCTCCTGGACACTTTTAATTCAATAAACATATTTCCTAGGACTTAAACTGCAGCTCCTTTTCCTGGGAAGGTGTTTCTACATGGCCAGGGAGCAGGGCGAGTTACACGTGCTGAATGCCAGCCTCAGACAAAACACCACACTTCCCTGTAGCAAGACTTCATTCCAGCGCACTTTCTCCATCCATCGTGTTGCTTTTCATTTGCTCCTCTGATGGCTTATGACAGCTCGGCCATCATGTCAAGGACATCTATGTTCCTTGACAGCTGCAGTGATCAGTTGCTGTTCTTCTTGGGTTTTCCCTCTCTCCAGCCTGGAAAGACATTTGCTTGCAAAGGGTTAACTCTGTTTCCAGAAGGCTCTGGACTAGATCTGTGCTGCTGCTGCTGTAGCTGAAGATAAGGAAAGTCTCGTCTGAGCTGGGCCTGAGGCAGAAACCCCCAACACATTACGGATGAGAAAATGGCATGGGTGTAAACACACACAGATGCCACAAGGCATCGGCTTTCCATCCACTGGGCAGAACACAGGAAACGTGTGACTGGCTGCTAAACCGATGAGAGCTGGATGTGGCAAGGTGCCCATTTCATCTCCATTTGAATCATGCAGATGGAATCCCTCATTTCTTCTATAACAACTGCCTTTTTCCTTCTCCCCATAGGAGACAAAACCCCTATGGCACAGAGCAATGTTAGAAAAGGCAGAGCGCCTTTCCAGATTGGAGGGGAACAGATCTTTACAGCAGACCCCTCCCCACAACCTCTCAACAAAAGATGATGTATGTTTAAATTTGATTATATTAAAAAAAAAAAGAGGGATGGATTCCCCACCCCCCCAGCCACTGATCAGGAAAGAGCTGCACAGAGGCCAGCAGCTCCTCTCTTTCAGAAAGCCTGGGTGGAGCAATGACTTAAGACAATAGTATTAAGAAATAAACCCGCCCCACTTCTCCAGCCCCGGGCACTGAACCGGGCACTGCCACTCACTGGCTCGGGAGCAGCAGGCTCACCTGGAGGATGCTCTGACTGGCAGGCAGGCCGGCAGCAGAGCTCCATTGTTCCTGGCAGCTCCTAGAGCATGTAGATGATGTAGGAGAGAATCACCAGGCCGATGATAGCAAAAAACATCAGGATAAAGATGTCCAGCATGATGGCAGAGGAAGGAGGTAGTGGCAAAGGTGGCCTGTGTTCCTCAGGCTCAGGCTGGGATTGCCGCAGAGGCTGCTTTCACTGCTTCAGGAAGGCAGGCAAGGTGCATGCAATGGCAGAAGTGGGGAATGGACAAGAGCTCCCCCCACCAAGCAGCAATTCCCTCCCCTCCCAGCTGGAGGACAGCCAGCTGAGCTGTGCCCAGGCTAGAGAGAGGATGCCTGATCTGATTGAGCTGGCTTTCCATCAACAAGATGACAGACTGAAAGAAAATGTGAAGGAGGGGGATGATGGAAGAGGGGGTGCATCTAGGACAGGCTTTGAATGGGAAAGACTGAGATGAGCCCAGCTCCTTGCTAAAGGGGCTCCACAGACACATGGGACAAAAGCAGCAACTTGCCTTCTAGAAGAGTTGCTTTGCTGGTTCGGGGAACCTGGTGTGGCCATATCCCAAGAGGTCACAAGAAAGGGGGGTGTGGCGCTAGCATAAGCAGATTTGGACTAAGGGGTGACCCCCAAAAGGAAGTGAGTAGATGGGTTACCCCTTCTTTGATCAAACTAGACTTTTCACACCCTAGATTGCTGGAGTGGGGGGAAACTTGGATGCAGCCTGGAGACCTTCCTGCTGGGTATTTCAGTACCTGGGGGCCCTTCTAAGCCCCGAGTACCAACCGAGACAACTGTATAAATGCACTGCCTGGGTAGAGACTCATACAGGCAAAGCAGCTGCTGGATGACATGACAGCTGAGGCGTGCCTGAAAACCCAGAGAGAGAAGAAGAGAGGAACAGCTAAAGAGAGGCCAGACTCATCCATGTACTTGTGCTTCAAAGGAGTAGTTGTTTAGTAGGGATTGCCCATTCAACCTATGGAAACAGTGTTATTAAGTTAGACGGGCATACACAGAGCTCTGTACCCCAGCACCAAGAAGCCCCAGCCAAGATAAAGGCCACAATGTGCTAAGTGCTGTACATACAGAGACAGCCAGCTCCTGCCCCAATGAACTGACAATTTAAATACACAAGGCAGATGCAGGATGGGGTGAAAAGAAGCAGCATCATCTCCAACAGGAAAACCAAGGCACGGAGAAACTAAGTGCCTTGCCCAAGATCACAGAAACCTCTGTAGGAACCAGGAACCCAGACCTCCAGAGGCCTATGTTTTCTCCAAGGGATGGCCAAGAAGGGCAGAAGGCAGGGAGTGGAAGTGAGCAGGGGGAAGTGAGGCAAGAGGGGTGGGTTTGAAGCAGGGAACACCTAGTACTGGAGATTTGTCTGAACATGGCAGATATCAAGGAGGAGTGTTCCCCCTCCCTCACAGCAGACAGGGGGTTTGGACTCCTTCTCTGGGCTATCAAACATCTTTCATGAGAGAGGACCAAGAGGAGCCCCCTGCAGAGTTGACTTACTACTTCAGTCTCCATGCACAGGTCTCAACAAGCTTTGGGAAGAGGACAAAATGTCACAACCCTCAGTTCACCAAAGGGGACAAAGGAGGTTCAGAGAGACCACAGCAGGATCTAGAACTAGGAACCAGACTCATGTATGTAGACTCTCAGATTGGTGCCCTGTCCCTATGCCTGTGAGCAGAGGGGCCAATGCTTGGCTTAATTTATTGCCAGCTGTTTGGAGGCAAGTGACATGGGATCAATTTGGGGAAAAAAAAGGAGACTTGCAAAGCTTTGCACTTTCCTGTTTGTGACGTTCCTGGTGCTCAAAGAACCATTTCTACTCTGTTTATTTTTGTCAAAACATCTGTTTCCAGGATTTTTTTTTAAGGCAGTTAAAATTAGCAGCTTTGGCCCACAGAAAAACAAAAGACAAACTTATGCCAACGGCAACATCCACTGGGATCTTGTTCGTTTTACAGATTGTAAATAGCATTCTCCTCTCCCAGCCCCCAGCTCATCTTATAAGGGGACTTTCCACTCCAAGACCTGCTGGAGGGCTGGGGGGAGGGGGGAAGAAATCACAGGTTTTGCTGTTGAAGCCACATAAGTGGCTGTCAGCTGCTTTATGACAATGAATTTAGCTGCAGCCTGGAGGAACAGTGAGCATGGATTAGGAGTTCAAAGCCAAAGTTAGACATGTCATGCTGGAACAGTTGTTTTTCCCTCTCCAGGAAAAAAATCCCAACTTCACTTCATGTCTGTACTGATTAATGAACTCCCTAAGAGGAGAGGCAAAGCCAGGCCAATGCCCTGCCAAACTCACAGCAGATTGAATTGCTCTGTGCCCTCAATTAACCTGTTCTTTGGAGGAAGCAGCTTTAATGAAAACAGACACTGAACAAACCCAGAGGACGGTTTCCAGCTTGGAGAGAGACACCTGAAGTAGCAAAGGTTCCTTCAACCTTGGATGGACCCAGCGTGATTTGAATTGCAGCAATATTTGGAGATCATCAGAGATGCCATATTGGGCACATCTACACAAGACGCTAAAGGCGCAGTAGACAAATTCTACTGCACATTAGCACAGTGGGCAAAACCTGTGCCAATGCCCTAATGTGCAGTAGAATTAATCTACTGTGCATTAGCATCACAAAAAAACCATGTGTCAGCACTAATGTGCAGTTGCACTGATTAAGACGCAGATAGTACCTGTAATGACATGTACTAAACAATGCATCGTAATTGTGGCTCATTAATGAACGTGTAGACGCACCCACTGAGTTGCATTAAGGGCCCACTAGCAGCACTGTACCTAGACTCCTGGTGGCCCCGGGGCAAACTTTTAGTTTTGGGCCTGCCTTTGCCAGAGAGATGATGGAAATAATCATCATCATTGTTTTCACCATTTTCCGGCCCCCTTCCTGTCCCGGCCCTGGGCGGCTGCCCAGTTCACCCATGCCCATGTCCGGCCCTGTCATCTAGCCCAGTAACCTGCCACTTACAGTGGCAGAAAGTGAAAGCTAAGGAGGAAGAGTATTTAAGCAAGGCATATAGCACCAGAGCGCCCCAAGGGGTGACAAGGTCGAAAGGTTATAAACTCCTGCAAGACCATTTCAGGCTGGACATAAGAAAGAACTTCTTTATTGTCCGAGCCCCCAAGGCTTGGAATAGCCTGCTGCTGGAGGTGGTTCAAACACCTACTCAGAATGGCTTCAAGAGAAATCTGGATGTTTTTCTTGCTGAGCTCCTATGACCCCAGCTGACCTTCTGTCCCTGGGGCAGGGGGTTGGACTCGATCTTCTGACATCCCTTCCAGCCCTAATGTCTATGACATCTATGAAATCTATATAAAAAATGATCCATCCCTTGCCTCTCTCTCCCGCTACAGCTTCTAGTTGGGAACCCCCTGCTGAGACCAACATCCGATTCTGCTTGGTGCAGTACCTCCTTTAAGAAAGGGAGATAGACACAGCTTACCACCTAAAGGAAACAAAACCAGATATAAGCAGAGAAAAGTGATCACAAAAGTGTTAATTATCTACCTGTTTAATTAGGCCTAATAACCAACAGATCAGTTAATTCATAAACACAGAGAATAGGAACAGATGCTAATCCAGACAATTTCTAGTTCCTTAGCTTGTAGCAGAAGATAACAGAAAAGAGTAAATAAATTCTCGTGGTAAGGAAGAGGTACTTGATCCTCAGCCCTGCTTTCTTGCAGAAATGTAATGCCCAAATCTCCACTCATCCTTAAAATGGATTTGATAGAAGGCCACCAACAGTGCTGCTGTCACACCCTATTTGCATATTTGGTTATACTGGGAATCATGGGGAAAATAAAGAGTTACTAGAAAAATGAGCTTCCTTGCAAGCAGGCAACACAGTAATTACCCTTAATTATAATGCTCTACTATGCTGTAATACACATGCCACAGTTCACAGATCACAGCCAGGCCTAGGCAAGTAGAGATGCTTTGTCACTGTTTGTTTCTCCTGTGTTGCAGGCAGTATATAAAGTCAATGTTGTTCCTTTGCTTCCAGAGCATCCAGTCCAGTGGAGGTGCACCTCTCTAATAATATTAAGCAGCCACAACTGAATACATTTCTGTCCACACCTAAGGGCAAGAGAAGGCATTTTACAGCTAATGGAGGCACAGACATCGATGAATACATTGGAGGTGTTACCTCCAGGAGTGGCAGGCACTCATCTTGAGGCAGGAGAGATCCAAGGAAGAAACAACCTGCCCTCTGCCTCCACCACCTGGACCCAGTTAGAGATGCTGCATTTTCTTTAGTGAAATGACCTGTGCAAGATCAGAAAGGAAGCCTATGGCAGAGCTCAGGTGTTGCAAGAACATTCTCGTTCACAGCATGGCCAAGCAGATAGCTGCTAGAATGAGCTGCATCAACACCCTGGGACTCCAGGTCCTAAGCTATACTCAAATGCTGATCACAGCCACAGCCCTTGCTAGCCGTTCCTCCAGCTGAAGGAGAGAGAAAGTTAAACACAATTAAGACCAGGTCAGTCAGCAGGTAAAAATTATACTTTTATTTTTAATTTGAGTAAACCAGGAAGAGAAGTTGTCGGTTTGTTCCGCTCAATGGTTCAGTTAAAAAGGCCAAATAAGTTTCATTTCTGGGCACTTGAGCCCATGGGAAGAAATACACAGAGACAGGAACCCAATCAAAAAGGAAAAAACAAAAAAACAAAAAAACAAAAAACCAGAAACAAACAACAAACTGATCAAGCCCGGCACTGAAATGCTACATGGAAAGCTAAGATGTACAAGATTTATTTTACACACTGATGAAATGGTTATACTGATGCAATTTAGCTTGTATTTTTTTTTTTTTTTTTTT